TGTTGTCATTATAATGTTTAGCTTCATCGGTAATACAGACTTTAACGCCATCTAGTATCTCACCGTTCAACTAAGAAGCTTTTCGTTAAAGCATAGAACCTGAAAGCAAACTGGAAAACCAAAACAACATTATTGTGCAAGTTTTCTCGTAATACCATAAACAATGCGTAGATGTCGCACTTATTAATAAATAGAATCACAATGATTCCCTTATTTTTTTTTTACAGACTCAATGGCAATTTTAAGGATATTGAACATAATTTTATTTGTTTTATAAAATTTTTAAACTTGTTAAATTTTGTGAGAAAAAATCCTTAACAATGTACTTTATCTTGATAAGATTCTAGGTAGAACTCAAACTTAGAATTTTCGCTTTCCGGACGACTTTCAAGCTACAAAGCATCACTTTTCTCAAGTAGTTTAATCGATATTCTAGTTCTAATGTTTCGACTTACAATTGAGATGAAAATGTGTTTTAATTACCTCTTATTGTTTTATTGTTTTTATTGAGAAAATCGTAATGAGGTCTTGAAAATCGCTTGAATAGATTGATATTTATTTAATCGAGGTAAAAAACAAAGAAGTTCTCGAGTCGACGCGTATATATTATTTTTTTGTATGACCTCGAATTACTTTTTGCAGAGTAATCCGATGTTGATAATTCTTTTTCATTGGAAAGGGAAACTCTCACAAACTTTTAGGGCTTTCTTTTAAGTTTTATTATGTTCAGGAGGTCTACTCTAATTCAATGAAAAACTAAATTTCCATCTAAATTTCGCGCTTTTCTTACTATGTTTCTGGTTCGTTTTTAATTATAATAATATTCGTTGTCGGAATATAGATTGAGGTGTAGATTCTTAGCCTACTCAAAGAAAGCTTCCATTTGATAGTTCATAGTTCAAATTAAGTATAACCTTAAATTGATGAAATTAAATTTCGTTTGAACTTCGTTACCGAAAATTCGTGTTGGGCGAAAATAGAGTTTCATTAACTCCCTGAGAGCCTTCCTATTGATAAGTTTATAGCAATGTTGTTATCGACAGACAGAATAATTTCTTTTAATATTTTGACTAACAACTAGCAACTTGTCACTTTTATTTCCGAAACACATCATGGGCGCAATCGGTGTTGTAAATATCACTCCCGTAACAATGCTTCAACAGAGAAGTCACATTTGAAAATATGTAGTTGGGCCTATGTTGTTGTTCGTAAATAATATTGACAGGCTTCCAGTTCACCGCCTACATTTTGGTGCATTAACAGAACAAAAACTTTCAGTCGATACTTTCTTTACTTTCTGTTACCATTGGTCCGTCTGTAAGGTGAGCATAGGATTAGCTTGGTATCTCGTGGCCAGGTGACATGGAAACGGTTTTTCGGTTCCCACTCCTAGCCGCGCGCGCCGCTGTTAGTAGGTATGCCACTAGGGACACATTGAACAAAGTTCCGTTGGATATATCATCGTAGGAGAGTCCTACATAACCTGCCCCCTTTCGTTAGATGGTAGGGAATGTGTCACGTATTTTCCGCACGGTGTAAAAAAGGGCCAGCACTGTATCTCAGATGAATCCAACTGGAAGGTCAAGAGCTTAGAGCATGCAAGCTTTAATGTGAGAGAAAAAGAGAGAGAGAGAGAACCATTTTATCTATAATATAAAAATGAATCGTTGAATGTGTTGCTAAGCGCAAAGCTCGAGAACAGCTGAATAGGGGGCCATTCGCCTAACGGAAATGCTTAGGAAAACGCTAACGCTTACGATTTCATTTTGTTATTTCTACCCGCCTGAGGTTTTCAAATGCCTCGCGCTCTTTTTTTTTCTCTTGCATTGGTAATAACAATATTAAAAAAAATGAGCGTGAGGTATTTGAAAACCTTCGGCGGTCAGAAAGAACAAAATAAAATCAAAAGCGTTAGCGTTTTCCTAAGCATTTCCGTTAGGCGAATGACCCCCTGATTTCAATAATTCTCATATTCCTTGAAGTACGAGGATGGTTCTTACGCAGAGTAAATTAAAAAAGTGCCTGAAAAAGTCCAAAAACAACACTTTTCTATACTCCCATACATAAAAGTCAATTTGAACTTTAATACCATACCATAAATTTCAAATGTTAGTGGAGAGGTTCCGGAAAGGAACCTGGAGTAAAACAATTGAGTGACGCGATGTCAATAGAAATTTAGAAAAGGCAAATTTATATACCATGGTCAGTTTTTTTTATAATTGTATGAAGAGTCATTTTAGTCTACACTACAGCTCAACACGGAAGCGAAGCGAGGGCGGACGACTAGTTGACCAATAAAACCACACAAACATATAATTATAAACAGCTGAAATAATAACATATATATAGAATGTAAGCAACACTAACATTGATAGACCTAACAGGTTTAATATTGGTCAATCAGGACCCTGCCTCAGCATAATGCTGCAGTGACATGCAACTAAACGTGTCACGACGACGCTGGTATTCTGACAGGACCTGTTGAACAGGTGGTTGTTGATCACAGGTAGGGCTGCCATCTCTAAAATGTGGCAACCAGGATAAGACGCGTGACAACCCCGGACTTTGGAGCCCAGAACCCGGACAGACCAATAAAAAACAGTTAAAAATATCACAAATCAACTTTTTTATGTCAAAAGAGCTAGCGGTCTACCTCATAATAAGTGGTCACTGCTGCCCATGGACACTTGCAGTACCAAGGGTCATTCATGCGTTGCCGTAAATTTTTAAATCCGGACTACAAATAAAACCCCGCCCGGACGCTCCCCGGACGCCCCGTAAACTAGGACAAATCCGGGAAAACCCGGACGGATGGCAGCCCTAATCACAGGGAATATATTTTACTATTAGGTTTTTACTATTTTTTTTGGGCTACTTACTAAACGGTAAGTAGCCCAAAAAGAAATTATAGATCATCTAAAAAAAAAATTATTTTAAATAATTTAATAATTGGAAAAATTAGTGCAATTTCAACATCAAAAATTAAAAAAAATAACAGTTATTAAAAAAAATAATAGAAAAAGGGATTCGTGCAGAGGATTTTGGATCAAATCCACATTCAAATGGAGAGCATTTCTCTCGATCTGAAAAAGTTTTTTTAGAAAGGACAATAGATGGTGGATTTAAATATAATTTTATTTAGTTTATTAGGATGATTAAAAATTAAAATATGTACACATTGCCCGTCGCGTCATATATAAATTGAAATAAGTCGTAACAAAGTAGAGGTACTAGAAAGTGTTTCTAGAAATATCAAATTAGAGCTTGAGATAAAGTATTTCATTTACATTGAAAAGATAATATTTTAATATTTAATTTGAATAAAGGGGTAAAAACGCTCGCAACAAAATTATAAAAGGAATTGAAGCATACACAACTAAATAACAAGATTATCTTGATTATGTTTTTTTTAATGATCTGCTTGGTATGTCGATAATTTCTAAATGTCTCTTGGATGAACCAATTGGGCACAACAATACCCCTAGCACGAACCATTATCGAATTCAAATAGTTTGCGAGTGCGAACTGTCATTGTCAAATGTGTACAGATTTTTAGTTCTCGTTACGTCCGTTATGGCTCTGCTGTTCCAGTTTTCATACAAAATTTGACAATTATATTTCAGGCTCGCAAATTTTTCGAATTCGTTCGTGTTAGTCCGGGTACTGTACTTTTAAAATTATTTATGAACAAGAAGAAATTTCAAGTAAGCAAATTTCGGACTCGTAAACTATTCGAATTCGATATAAGTTCGTATTCGTAACAAAAATAAATTTCAAATAAATGTTTAACTTAATAGGTTAATTTCGATCAAATCCATCAGCCATGTTGCTATATGCGCTACGTGATGCTAACATAAATTATCTTGCAGTAGCAAAGATGATAACTTTGCATTAATCGGTAAGAGTGGAGTTCGAATTATTGTTTACATCGGCGCGGTCGACGCTCGACCTATTAACCCAGCCAGAGGAGTGCAACCTTTTTTGTCGGTGCTTTTTTATCGAAATATATTTTGATGAAGCTTACTAATAATAAATGTCAATTTGATACACAATCAATGATGGGTTTCGGTACTTTATTTATTATGATGTGTATATATCGTTCAATATGTAGATAAAGCTTTACCCTGTAGATTATTTTATTAAGGGGAAGAAAAAAGAAAGATTATATTTAATACAATTTTATATTAACGTTTTCATTATAGATATAAATAAAATTAATCACACGAAATTGTGTTGTTATTAAGTCAAAAGGCGCCGGTATCTGTAATACAGTTTATGACTAGTGCAGATATCAACGCTCCAACCTTATGCCTATTGTTAATACTTACATAACTGCTAAAATAATGTGTAAACTAAAATGTGTAACAATTTAAAAAGAAATAAACATTTTATTTTACTAAAGAAATACATTAACAAAAACAGCACAGGAATTATGATGTTCCGAGCTTTGTGCTATAAATAGTATTGCCACAGACAGTTTAGAGTATTTGTTTCTAAAATTGTAAAGCATGAATATTATAATTTAAGGGCTCCCTACATTGACTCACGTTGTAAATCACACTCGTATATGTGTAATATTCTACTATTTGTACTGGTATCTTTATACATTCGTACATTGATCAGTTTTATACGAGTGCTTATTAATAAAAATCATTTTGTGTAATATTACTTTCTAAGAGGAGTTCTTTTTATAACTTTAATGATTTCACTTCCACAAATAAACGCCCATCATATTCAATGGCTCACCAAATACCTGTATTAATACTATTATTGACATTCAATTTTCGTTCCATTGCTTCTAAACACATAACCTTTTTTTTATTTTTACGTCATGATGAACATACAATAACCTACTTCTGTCGGACCCGTTGTTGTTGATCTTTGGTCGACCGGTCGTCGATCAGTGCACCGTTACTCATCAAACATGACAAAAGGGCAAAAAAATGTTTGGCGCGTCTGCAATTCGCACCGACCTTTGCGCGCACGCATCCTACGGTCAGCGACGATCTAGTCCGCGCGCGTCCCACACTAGCACCGGTTCTTCCGCTATTAATTAAAAAGTTCCACTTACAAATTACTAAGTACGATTTTAAAAGCCAGAAATAAAGAAGGCCAGATTCAATAAAACAAAATAAGGTGACGTCAAGTGGGAACCATTCAATTGCTCAGACTTAATTAAAAAACAAATCACTCAGTTCCATTGTTTTCATTTTTTGTAGCAATGAGTTTTTAGTGAGTGCAAAAAGTGAGGTTTTAACAAAATAAACTAGTGTGTGCTATGTTTGCTTAAGTTTTTCTAGAACTGAACCAAAATGGTGTGGCTATTTCTTTTGTTCGTCGCATTGCCCGTGATATATTCTGAAGGTGAAGAATTGACTCCACCCCAGAATGTGACAAGGTAAGTTTGTCACTCATTCCTTGAGGAGAAATAAGCAAGCAGATAGTTAAAACACCCTTATGTTTTCTGATAATAGTAAAAGTTAAATAGATCAAGCTCAGTATAAATAAATGCTATCAATTTGTCACTATTGTTTCCGAGCGACAACATAGACCATATCTAAGTTAAAGTGACGTTGAGTGGCACCTAGCTAGAAATAAATTTAAATTTCATAGTATACCACTCCATATAACTTAATATTAAACTAATACTGTTACTGCTAAAAAACGAGGCCACTCAGAAACAACGAAGCTACGCACCACAAACACCCAGTCAGGAATCTATATAGCAAAGGCTTTTAATATCTAAGTTAACATACAAACGCGGATCCATCCCAGTTCCTCAGTGATGGACAATTTGACATATTGCTGATGGTCCCAATCGTTTAAGAATCAAATCTAAAATAGCAAGAGGGACTGAAGGCCCGATTTTGATGCTGTCCCAGCCGCCTATCACCCACCGTGATAGCCGAAATTGGTTCAGACGCCGCGCCGGCAAGAAGAGAATTCATAAAACGGTGTACGGTTTACAATGGTGCCAAAAATTGAGCGTCAATAAATTTAAAGCCTCTATTTTAAAAAGTTCTTATTAAGAAAGCCTGGTGATTGATTATATTTCAGACAAAATGCTTGGTTTAAACTGTTCCAAACGTTTCGGTAGACTTTTTCTATAATTATGATGAATATGATATGATTTTTATTGGCACCGTAACAATATCATGTTATATAAATATTGCTACATAGTTATTTAACGCTGTGAAGTTTTTTTCGCCAGATTTTCTCCACAGCTCAAAATATGTCCATAATTAGTTAGTAGTAAGGAAAAAAGTATTGACGACCGAAAAGAGTTATATTGTGCATTCAATTTGAATTAAGATTTTTTTACATTTGGTATATTATTTTCTGCATTTAAAAAAAAAACAGATTTGTTGTCACCCACCTAAAAACGGCTATTACGAATGTCGCTTTACCTCTGCGACCGCAGAGCAAAGTATCTACAAAATAAAACAATATAAGTACTAAGACCTTCCTTCGTTGACATCTTGTCTTAAGAGGAAATGATTATAGTTTTATAGCTTAGTCCATCTTTTTTCTTCACAGCAGGAAATGAATGTAAATGAGCCCTTTGGTTAGCAATAATTGTTAATTAAAATCTAACAACAGTTCGTTCATTCAATGTTGAATGGAGCGGCATCATAAAATCTTTTCTTTGAATTGTGTCTTGTTAGATTCATTTTTATTGGGTTTCTTTCGATGAATAAGGTTTCAGGGCTCTACGGTGTAGCGGATTAGGTCAGAGTTGGCAAACGGCTTGAATAACATTTTTGTATTGCAAGCGTGTATAGCGGGATGGCCGACTTAATTAGACCCAAGATCTACTGTTTACTGTCGAAACCCTGTGCGATCTTCCAATTACATACTTCTTGAAATCTTAAATGAAACAACACAGTTCAGTACACAATTATGAAGTAGTTTTTTATTTTAGTAAGAGGGCAAACATAAAAGCGAACGAGTGCCTTAGTAACTACTTGTATTACTGCACAGAGTCATTATTAAAAGTGGTCCATAAGCAATGTATCTGCAAATTTTGTAGCCAATTCATAGACATCATCACTATGGGAGAGGTTAAAGAAGATGCGTACAGTAGTTAGTGATTACGATACGCAGTCTGTTCTACTCAAATATATTTTATGACTTGCCACGATCGATTGAACTAATAGTCGCAATCGACCGGTCGCACGCGATCGACTGGTTGGCCACCCCTGGTGTATAGGCTATCGTGGCCGCTCATACCATCAGACGGCCCATACGCTGCATACCATCAGGCATAATAACATTTGAAAAAATATTGTACCCGGCATTCGACCAGCAACGATTTGTTTCTTGTTGCCCACTAGTTGCGACAAGTTGTCCACGGGTAGGCATCGATTGATGAACGAGAGGTAAAAGCGCGCGTATTAATTGGTGTCACCATTTTTTCCGAGAAAAATCGTTATTAGCCAAAGAAGATCATTGAGGTGAAGAAGCTATGATGTTGTTCGGAAAAGATAGTGACAGCTTGCAAGTCAGTACTGCAAATAAGTACTTAACGAAATAAAGTGTCATCGCCTACCCTACCATCATCTACCTCATCTGGTCATCTACCCTGTCTATTTATATATTTTTGCGCTGAAATCACACACTACATGCCATGCTTAGAGACAAGCAACACACCTAACTAGTCGAGCTTATGTTCATTAAACGAGCGACTCGCAGCCGTCGCGACTGGAGTCGACGGCTGCTGTCATGAGGAGGCGACGGCTGACGGCTTTTTTAAAATCGGTCTTAAAACTGTACCGTCTTATCTACACTATTACTAATAGAGTAAGATCCCAAGACCGCCAGACCTTAATTTTTTGCTCATGGACAAAATATGGATAATTCAGTAGTATTAGTGTGAATAATGAGCTTAAACGTACTCGCTAACTTGTGCTGTGGGTCAATTTTAGATATCGGGTGGCACAGGCACGTTAAGAGCCCTTTAACAAAATTGCGCCGCTGCCGTACTGATCGGCGCGTAGGTAGATTTGCACTAGTACATATTGCTATTTACGGGTGATGTTTCGAGTCTAGTCTAGTAGAGTAGTAGTCTAGTAGAGAATAACTAGTGGCCTGCCCTCGCTTCGCTTCGGGGTAGAATTGATCAAAATCCTTTCTCAGCGGATGCCTACGTCATAACATCTACCTGCATGCCAAATTTCAGCCCGATCTGTCCAGTGGTTTGGGCTGTGCGTTGATAGATCACTATGTCAGTCAGTCACCTTTGAGTTTTTTTTTATATATAGATTATTAATGAACTAATTATAAAAATATATACATATTTCAGTAGTTCAATGATGATACATTAGGTTTTTTGAAAGTTTTTGATAGTAATTCTATTTAATTCAATATCAAAATACGAGGTAAACCTGCATTATTTTTTGGGAAAACTCACGCAGGTTAAATGTTTATTTTTTGATAATTAATGAGATGGAAAATTAAAATTCTATTAGATTATGTTACAACAAAAACATATTTTTGATGTCGTAGTAATTAATTTGATCTAATTTATTGAATATTATTGAGAGATTGAGGCGTTTGAAGTTGTGCATATTATCGTTTTTTCCGTAAACTAGCTGCAGTAGAACGATCAGTACAAAAAAAAGAAAATAGTATTTGCAAATATTCTGCATTAACTTTCAATAAGAAGAATAAATCTACTGTTTACTTTTATTGGAAATAGTCAAAATCTTTTCTATGGGGGTAATCGAGGCTCTCAAAAATTACGATTTTTGTAAAAAATGTGAAAGGGCTCTTAAATGACGGGGTACAGTAAACGAAATTCTATTTAGTCCGTCAGTTAGATTATCAAAAAATAATGGACACATATTTTTTCTTAGGGCAATCAACCAAAAAATGACAAAGTTATAGCGCGTCAAAGTTTGGGAGAAGGGGCTCGTGACGTCACTTTTGCGTGAATTTTCACTTATAAGTGTACTCAAACGTGACGTCATGCAATTTTTCAAATCAATATATCTCTGCAATGTTTATATTATGTGAAAAAAGAAAAAATACGTGTCCAATACTTTTTGATAATCTACCTGATAAACGAAGAAAAAAAAACTAGTCATCGTCCCTATTGTACTCACTTTACTTACAGTCTGAGGACTGTTTCTTACACATGTTGTAGAGAACATTGTAAAGAATTTGAAATTGATACTGCCAGTGTGGTTTCACCCGCGTTCATTTCAGGAAAAAGATTATGTAAGTCAAACTTCAAACAGACAGACTTTTTAATAGCAACGAAAGCTCTGAAAAGAAGTGTTTTCCCCGATTTCGCAACATTTTTCATTGATGCTCCGTTGCAATTAGTTTTATCATGATATTATTTAGCCTGTAACCTTCCTCGATAAATGGGCTATCGATCACAAAAAGAATTTTTAAATTTGAATCAGTAGTTCCTGAGATAAACAAACTAAAAGTCAGCTTTATAATATTAGTATATATAGAAGTATAGATAAGTTTCTAGCTAATTAAAATATGTACTGACAGAACAGCTTTTCTATTTAGAAGTAACTATTTCAGTACTAGAAAGTAGACCGTGTTCTTTATTACCAGTTACTAAGTACCTAAGTTAGATTCACAGTACAAGTTCATGTGGGTGATTCGCAATTCTTGAATGAACTCAAACTATGAATGGTAACCGCTTATAATAGTTTTATAGAAGATTATGCGACTGTCATTTAAGGAGGGCTATTAAAACACGAGAGGTCTTTTAATAACTAAACTATACGCAGTTACATGCACTTCTTTATCTTCACTCATAAAAACAGTTGAAATTAAACAAAATGCCAAAAAAGTTTCCCAAAACTTTTCTGATATTCCGAAAACAAAATACGATCGGCAGCCCTGCAACCGCACGCTGTGATGGTTGAAGCTGGACATGTTTCTCGAGCCTCATTACCTTTGATTATGTCAAATATCGAAAAAAGCCTTATCACCGAATCCGCCCAATACCTTATTTTTAAATGCTACTTTTTTTCTCAGAAGTCCGTGCACCGATATGAACCACCTGTTCCTCGCGCCTGGAGTGCTGACCGCTGGTGGCAGCAACCGAGCTTGCGTCTCCAGGTTTTATACAGACGGCACAGCCAGGATGCTCCTTACTCTGGTCACTGATGACCTGACGACGACCACTGCCTCCAGGGAATTGCCTTCAGGTCAGATATCATCTCCGTCGTCAGCGGTTTATGTATTGAAGTCAACAGATCGTGTAAATATAAGAATACTATTCAAACACATTGTTCTAAATGAACAGGGAGATAGCGGGCGGATGGTACGGCAACTCTTTTTTTTATGTTATAGGGGGCATACGAGCAGACGGTTCACCTGATAGTAAGTGATCACCGCCGCCCATGGACACTTGCAACACCAGGAGTATCACAAATGCGATGCCGGCCTTTAAGGAAGGAGTACGCTCTTTTTTTGAAGGTTTTTGGGTCGTATTGGTCCGGAAACACTGCTGGCGACAATATATTCGACAGTTTTGTCGACAAAAACGCACGGTTGTGGATAGCCACGCGTCAAGATGATGGTGATAAAATTTTTGTAGCGATGTACGATGGCAAAATGCAGCAGCTGGAATTAATCCGAACAATTCCTCAGAACACTCCCCGTGATAAATGCGATAAAAGATGCAGAGCGAAGCTACATCCCTATCCCAACTCGACGTTGGCGCAATATAAACAGTTGTAATACATCAGTTATTATGAAATACGTCACACAGCGCCATCGCACCCGCGCCCCGCCCGCTTTCTGGATGAACTTTTAAACCTCTTTTGAATGCGTTTCGAAAAAACCTTTTTCTTGAAGTCACTCCAAACCGAAAGTATAAATTAAAAAACAAATAGACGAATGGTTTGGAAACAAAAAGTATTTAAACCTCTTTTAATGCTTGTCAGTTGTTATTTTAAATAGTTCCATTCCAATTACATGAGAAAAAAACTCATGTAGAGTCTGTGCGGAAAGAGAATGGGATTTAGATTTGAGGGCGCTGTAGTGCTAAGGTTTTACCCTTTTTAGACATGATTAAATACAAAAACCGCAAGAAATCACAACAATTAACAAATCCGTAACAAACAATACACAATTTTGACGTTTGACAGATGGTTGGGTTAAATTGCTAAATAAAAATCTAATGTTAGTTCCGTTTTTCGCCACGCCCATTCTCTTTCCACACAGACTCTACCTAAAGTGTACTGACGAAATAAAGTTTGCATTTGATTAAAATATTTACTCATGACGTTTATGGCAAGACGATTTCAAGCTTTCATTAAGATTTTCCGAGAAACAAGGGATTTAAATAAGGGATCAAACGAAAAACAAATACCTACACTTGTAGTGTGCGTGTAGTATAAGTTATAACCTCTAAAGAATTTAGCTTTGGGGTTTGTGTAAGTATGCTTTCCATGCATTATGGCGGTACGATTACACCTGGGGGCCATTCGCCTAACGGAAATGCTTTGGAAAATGCTAACGCTTTCGATTCTTTTTTGTAATTTCTGACCTCCGAAGGTTTTCAAATACCTCAATTTTTTTAATATTGTTATTACCATTGCAAAAGAAAAAAAAGAGCGCGAGGCATTTAAAAACCTCAGGCGGCTCGAAATAACAAAATGAAATCGTAAGCGTTAGCGTTTTCCAAAGCATTTCCGTTAGGCGAATGGGCCCTCTGGTCATTAGCCCGAATACGAGTGCCAATGACTTTCGAGTAAACGACTAAGTGTAAACGAGTCGAGTACGCCCATATTCGGGTAGATTTCCTTTTGTTTACCCGACAACGTGTTCCAGTCCAGCCCGTATTGAAGTGTAAATATTGATTCGGGTGCCAGTCGCCGTAACATGAGCACCACAATTTACATTATATCACGTTTTCTATCGCGTCTAACTGTCAAACTCCACAGTGATTTGACAATTGAGAGCGATAAAAACGCGTTATATATCATATCGAGGTGCTCATGCTAGGGGGGCAGAATTCGAGAAATGTCTTTGGTGCACCCGAATTCGAGCTAACGTCCAAATGTAATTGCGGCATTAGTTGCAAATAATTTACATTCTGTCACTTTTCCATCCATCCATCAGCCTTTCCCCGTCCACTGCTGGACATAGGGCTCCCCCATAGAACGCCACAATGCGCGGTCCTGCGCTATCCGCATCCAGCGGCTCCCAGCACATTTGACGATGTCCACCGTCTGTCCACCTTAATGTGGGCCGCCCCACGCTGCGTCGACCGGTGCGTGGTCGCCACTCGTGGACCTTTCTTACCCACCGGTTGTTAGATCCTCGAGCGACGTTACCTGCCCATTGCCACTTCAGCGTGCTAACTCTTCGGGCTATGTCGTACACACCGGTCCTTCTACGGATCTCCGTATTTCGGATCTTATCACGTAGGGAAGCACCGAGCATAGCCCTCTCCATAGCACGCTGCGCGACTGTGAGTTTTGTTATGAGGCCGACATTCAGAGACCTCTGACACTTTTACGCGGCGGCAACTTATATACAAAAGGGAGTATTTTTTAATACTATGAGAAGAAGAAGATAACAGAAAAAAAACTCCTGATCACGATATTTGTTTCCGCGATTAGTGTCATGTATATCGCGATATTTGCTTGCGAGATAAGTGTCATGTAAGTACTACTTACAATATTAAGTTGCGGTAATACAAGCTTCCATGCTTTGGAAATAAACAGTATTTGAGTTGGTACCTGAGAAGGAGGAGGTCGATGACGCGGGTCGTTAGCGCGTTCGCCTGCGATCGTTGAAGTTAACTTTCGGTCATTGGATGGGTGACCAAAAATCTTCTATCTCGAGTTCCTCCGTGCTTCGGAAGGCTGTTAAGCCGTTGGTCCCCGCTGCATCTGCAGTCTGCAGTTGCTTATGAAGTCGAGTCGGAGCATATTTTATTTGATGCTAGTATGAGCGTACCGTATCTTCCCTTTTTGTTTTAATCTAAGGCTACACGGGGTAGGGGTTTTGGTAAGGCTAGGCAACGGTACGAGTGATATTTTTTGTATTGTAAACGAGCGTCTATGGATATGGTGGCCGCGTACAATCAGACCGGCTTATTTACCATTCCTTAACATAAAAACACTTTAATATTTAAAGAAAAGTTTACTAGAAAAAAAATCCACGCGGACCAGGCAGCGGACGGGACTCGAACCCGCATCCTTCGCTATCTGGGCGAATGCACTGACCATTATGCTACCACGGCCCTATTAGCCGCGTTGAAATTTTCCTAGCCTTAAGCTGCAAGGCAGCGCCATCTCTTCGCATTGTAGGTAACCCACAATGTTAAATGAATACTTTTTCAAGTATTAAACATTTGAAAGAAGAAATAGCAATTATAGTTATGATTTTCTTTATTTTTTAAGCATTTAGCTGCTAGATGTTTAAATCTAAAGAAAAGTTTACTAGAAGGATGCGGGTTCGAGTCCCATCTCCTGCCTGGTCCGCGTGGATTTTTTTTCTAGTAAACTTTTCTTTGGATTTAAACATCTAGCAGTTAAATGCTTAAAAAATAAATAAAATCATAACTTTAATATTTCTTTAAAACTACCCGTACTTGTGACTTTAAATCTAAATGTTTGCAGAACTTAGACTAAGTTAAAAATAAATCAGTATTCCATTTGAGGCTCTGTTATGTTTTTAGGTGATGGAGGTTGCATCGACATAGCCGTGCCGCAGAAACCGAACACAAAAGCTAAATTAACAGTTAATTTATGGTGAGTACTTACTTTATCTATGATCACAAGTAACTCTTCATATAGTCTGTGCGGAAAGAAAATGGGCGTGGCGAAAAACGGAACTAAAATTAAGATTTTTATTTGGCAATCAAACCCAGCAATCAGTAAAACGTCAAAGTTTTGTATTGATATGGATTTGTTTGTTGTTGTGATTTCTTGCGGTTTTTTGTATTTAATCATGTCTAAAAGGGGTAAAACTTTACAAATACGGTAGAAAAGCACTACAGCGCCCTCCAATCTAAATCCCATTCTCTTATCGCACAGACTCTATCGACATATCGACAGTTGTATAGAGCTGTATAGGTCTTAACCCTTTTTTTTATTATTATTTATTTCCCAATGTCATTCACAAACAATATTACTAATAACGGCGAAGAAAAACCATGCAAGGTTTGTCCGCCGCCGTGTTCACCCTGTAAGTACATAGTTACATACATTGTGTATTTACAAATTATCAATGAAGTTCAGGTAGAATTACTATTGTCCGTCAGAGGATCGCTCACCTCGTTATGTCGCCATTGTATTGATGACGATGACAGAGTCGTGACAGAGTGGTGCAGTTACATTTTGTAATGACCGAGTTGAAGCAAGACGGACATATAGTAATCCCTCCCTGCAGTATCACAGAAGCACCAAACTAGTTTGCGCCTTATCAATACCTAGTGTATTTATACTGTCAATCAATATTTGAATGATAAAACGGCCTGGTTGTAATTTTACCTGTAGATAATTTTTCAAAAGTTATATTAAAACTAAGGCTCCCAGCCTTAGAAAGAGTTTTGAAGAGAACCTTGCACTTACTCCCTTTCATATACTTGTTCATTTTGTTTTGAAAATTGTTTCTTGCTATTTTGGGACTTATCTTTGCACTTGTTAGTAAATTCGTTGATTGTCTATTATTACATATTTGACATTATGTGATGGAAGTTGACCTCAACACATGTTTGCAAGTTTGATGTCAACTTTCAATTGGACGACACTGTATGAAATAAAACAGGGAGAAAAAAGCAGCCCTTGCTGAGTTTCTTGCCGGTTCTTCTCAGTACAAGGTCTCCCGCCGTAGTTTTGCGAACCGATGGCGTAGCTTTTCGACATTCACAAGTGCTTGTAACAGCCTAGACTGAATAAACGATATTGAATTTTGAATTTTTTTTTTGACATGATGATTACATTTACACATAGTATTATAAATTATAATAACCAATATACAATCCTCTCTAAACCACGACAACGGCTAACTAGAGCCGAGGTCCGAGACTCAGAGACGCCCTCTAGTTGAGCCAACCCCCTCAGGTTCGAGTGGTCTAGAGGCTCCAGACGGAGAGGAGCCTCCCCCCGTGGGGAGATGCTATCCGCCTGAAATACCTCTAGAGGCACTCGCCAATTCTCGGCTTGAGGTCCCCTTAGGATCTTGCCGTCCCCAAACTTGGTGATGCTGTAAAGGCCATCTGCGACCAACAGCATACACATAAAAAAAATCCTCTCAAAATCAAAATGAGAAAGTGCATGCAATGAAGAAGGGCAATTAACCATTATGAAATTAAACAAAATAAGATTGTTACTACTTATGCTTATCACAAATCAATTCAACAAATTATTTCTTAAGCACATGTTTGATATTCTTTGTATTTATTTACTGTTTAAGAGAGGGTAGTAAACTTATAACCATTACTTCTAAGTGGCGCTGCTGTCATGTTTTAGGTATTTTTTTAATATTTCAACGTCAATCCAGTCACTCTCAAAATCCATTTACCTATAACAAGCATTACGCGGAAAAGAAACATAATTAGTAATCAATCGACCAATAATTGTGAATGCTTTTATCAGGTATCCAGAAGCCCAATGCTCATGGGAACGCGATCTATCCGTGAGGATTTCCAGCGGGAGACTGCTGGTTATCCACACGGAGCGAGCCAGGTACCACCCTGGAGAAATACTTCGAGCGAGGGTGCTAGCTTTGAAGGCTGACCTGACTCCAGCACATGGCGCGGTAAGATCTCAATCTTATCATAGGGATACTGCTGGTGGTCCACATAGAGCTAGCTAGGTACCACCCCGGAGAAAAACTTCGGCTCTGAAACCTGAACTGTCTCCAGCATATGGCGCGGTAAGATCTCAATCCTTTCATAGGGAGACTGCTGGTGGTCCACAAGGAGCAAGCTAGGTAGAGCCCCGGAAAAGTACTCCGAGCTAGGGTGCTGGCTCTGAAGCCTGACCTGACTCCAGCACATGGTGCGGTAAGATCTCAATCTTATCATAGGGATACTGCTGGTGGTCCTCATAGAACTAGCTAGGTACCACCCCGGAGAAATACTTCGAGCGAGGGTGCTAGCTCTGAAGGCTGACCTGACTCCAGCACATGGCGCGGTAAGATCTCAATCTTATCATAGGGATACTGCTGGTGGTCCACATAGAACTAGCTAGGTACCACCCCGGAGAAGAACTTCGGCTCTGAAACCTGAACTGTCTCCAGCATATGGCGCGGTAAGATCTCAATCCTTTCATAGGGAGACTGCTGGTGGTCCACAAGGAGCAAGCTAGGTAGAGCCCCGGAAAAGTACTCCGAGCTAGGGTGCTGGCTCTGAAGCCTGACCTGACTCCAGCACATGGTGCGGTAAGATCTCAATCTTGTCATAGGGAGACTGCTGGTGGTCCACAAGGAGCAAACTAGGTACAACCCCGAAGAAGTACCTGACGCCAGCACATGGCGCGGTAAGATATCAATCTTGTCACAAGAAGACTGCTGATGATCCACACGGAGCGAGCCAAGTACCGCCCCGAAGAAGTATCTGAGTAAGGGTGCTGGCTCTGAAGGCTGACCTGGCCCCAGTACATAGCTCTGTAAGATTTCAATACTGTCATTTTATCTAAATTGAGTTGAGAGAGAGCTGGCTTCAACCTGAGCTATAGTGTTCAGTAGTTTCGTAATATTCTGAATCATACGCGCGTCTCATTCTGAGGAGTCTTTGAACATGAAGAAAAAGTAACGACTAATAGAACTGAGTCTATCTGTGGCAATATCTCCACTTCATCGGGTAATATACGAAGCATTGCCCTTTTCTAAAATCTTAAGATGTGGCTTACATTCACCCGATGTTAAGCATTCCGTATATCCAATAGACACAAACTGGCGGCTTTGGTCCAGAACTCATGAATTTCAAGTGAGAGAGTGTTGTTTAAGAGTCAAAGTACTATGGTCCCAAAGGCTGATCTCAATCCAGCACATGGCACGGTAAGATTTAAATTCTGACAGTTTATCCAATTTCAATTGTCTGGAGTTAATGAAAACCCTTTTGTCTTCCCTAACAATTACTAAACTGTAGTTTTGGAAGTTAGATACAGTTTTCAGTAATTTCTCATTAATTGTGAACTTCGCACAAAGAGTCTTTGAGCACGGAGTTTTATTTTAGGAGTAAGTAGGATAGAGGAGTTTTATTGTCTGTAGAATTGCATCTGCGTAAAATCCCATGTACTTAGTTATAACATACTGACGAAGTTACATATTGTTTGAGTGAATTCGTGTCAGTATTCAATTAAATTGTCGGACTAACATTTTTGTCGAGATTCCGGAAAACACTGAATTAAAAAATGAATTCTAATAAGTTTTTTTTTGGTACGACCGATTGATTTTTTAATAATTTTAAATAAAATAGACGACGCTGAACACTTTCTACGTCGCAATACTTATAGTTTTGATTTGTTTGTTTTTATAAACCATAAGCATTTATATTCCTGCATCGTCCCCGGAAGCCGTACAGGTTGACATTAGCCTGCAGTCGGCTGTGGCTGTTGGGTATATACGCCTGAGATTTTCACAACTGTGAACAATGTGTGTTGAGCTCACGAAAACTATCATAATTTTCGTAATTGTAAATAATGTTTCTATGTAACCAAATATACTTAAAATTTAAGAAGAATTTAAACACTGTTTATTTGTATTGAAATGGAAACAATAAAATCAGTACCCTTGGTACGAGTGCGAGCTCACGAAAACTATCATAGTTTTCGTAATTGTAAAACTCGTAGTAAGGGTAATGCTCTCCCGCCTGGGAGAAAACAAAGTGTAGTCCTTCAACTTTTATTAGTAAATATACTTATTGTTTATAACAGAATAAAAATACTTGTGGATTATACATTATTGAAACTTGTACTTCTAAAACTTAGTAAGTAAGTACTTAGGTAATTTATGAAGTACGACTCATCTCTCTCTAGTAACTAAACAAAGTAGGTACTATAGAGTTCTACCCAGAAGGGATAGAACCTGGGAGCGAAGATGTTAATTGAAAGATACTGATAGAGATAAGTTATTTATTTTGTTTTATCATTCAGGCTAATATAAAAGTATTTTATCTAAATACGAGAGGAATTCTTGGCGCCTGAAGATCTAATCTTGAATGGAACCTTCTATCAAAAGACAGACGATTCCTTATTTTAAATCTTAAAATCATGACATTAACTTTTTAATATAACTGCCAACCGTAGGCATTGCAAAAGCAAAGAGTTTACCTAAACAAGGAGGTTGTAACATCACGGACGTTACATCCCTCCGGCACCTCTAAAAAAAAAATTGTTTTGTCATACCAGATGACCGAACAAAATTTTTTTTTCCTACCTACTAAATCGAGAGGGTTCGACGGTCCTATCTAAAATCCCTACCTGCTTAAGGACATAAATACAACTGGGAGATGGCCTTTACTACAGACTAGCCCTCACAATAAGTTTGCAAAACTTGCAAAAAAAAAAAAAAAACTTTACGGGAAAGGAACCCTAACTGTTTGCAAAGTTTTATTGCAAAGACTTTACGGGAGCAAAACCTTAACAAAATCCCTCGTACATCTCCCTCCTAACCTTAACTTTACTTTACTTTACATCGACATCAGTCGGCAAAAACAAAAAAACAAAGCTAACCCTAGCTATAACTTAAATTACCCAAGCAATTTTTATTTTATCCCATCTATCAGCAAAACTTTACCCTATCCCATTTATTAAACCATTAAATATCAAGAAAATTTATATTTTGAAACTTCATTACTTCCCATACTAAGTAGATGTACGAAACGAAATTCAAACTATTTCCTAAGATTCGTAAACATTAACTGGATTTGAGCAAAACCTAAAAGAATTTATAATTAATGTTTACTTTCGTACATCTTTAATAAAGATACAGACGTGGTCCACCACTTTATTGTCTTGTACTTTATTAGACACCCATAATGCGCAAACGTAATAGAAATTTTGGGTAAGGACATCTAGCATCAAACAAGATTAAACCCAATTCCCATGGAATACTAAAGGTTCCCTACCCCCAAGTCAAACTACTACAAGTGACGATTTCGACGAACGCGACGCGACCAAATTGAAACGAAAACGACGCGAATTCGTAGAGGGTGTCTCCATCATCTTCAGGGTGGATCATCGTCAGTATCGCTGACGTCTGCATGAGCGCCAGCCTGCTCTCTCTCGGGAAGTCCGCATCATGTGGTAGTACACCTATTCTTATGCAAATAAATAAATTCTAATTCTAATTCTAATTCTACATAAAACAATCAAGAAAATATTAGTAAAATTCTTTACACCATTTTTCTTCAGTCGGGTAAGTTAATATTCATGAAAACATTAAGTTTATGATGTTAAAACATTAATGAAAACTAAGTCTTTATACCATCTTTTCATAGTTGGATAAATTTTCAAAATTTAACATTATTATTCATTTATTTATTTTTTAACCTTACAGGGAATCGAACCCGTTTCCTTTTTTATAATAAGGGAATTTTCTTTATGGACCTATATTATCCTATTATACATTATTAACTATATATATTCTATCCTAATGTTGGATTAATCCTACCAATGATCATATTCAAAGTCAATTGAATAATTCCAAGTTGAACAGAGAATCGAACCTGTTACCTATCATTCTTATGGTTATTACGATATCAATAATCCACCTACTCAACAAATTACACTAAAGCTAACAATTAAAAGAAATGAAAATACTTTAATGAAACTAACTATTAATCTTTCATAAACAACATGTGTAAAAGTTCCTTATAATATGTATATTGAAAAAAATTTCTAATATAATGACAAAGTTATATTTAATATGCTTTTGAAATAAAATTCTAAAATGACTATTGTATTGAACCTTATTTACATACCACCATTGCTTTAAAACATTCATATAAACAATAAACTGAAATAAAATCTCATTAGTAACACAATATTATAATACTATCAACCTATTCGGCATAATATAAATTTTCATCATACACTGCATTATCACTATTCCTTTCATTATTCTTTTGTGTATATTGTCTTTTAAACTTGCACTTATTATGTTTGATTATTAATTGTTCATTATAAAAGTCTACTATCGCATTATTTGGAAGTAAGAAATCCTGTCCTAAGATGAGGTTATGCCTAATATTCTCTACCACAAGAAAATCGTGAATGAATAACACATTGTCTATCAATAATTTAAGGTTAACTTTCCCTATAACAGACAATTCTTTACCATCGACAGCTTTCAACTTCATATCGCTTTCATCAATTCGTTGATGAATTCGACTTACTGTGTCTTTTGACACCACAGACACTACAGCACCACTATCAATGAGCCCTACAAACTCCTTATCACGACACGTTATATTAATTAAAGGTTTGGACTCACTTGTATGCTGATTGTTGTTTTGTGACGACTGTGACTGGTGAACATCAGCCATCGTCATTGAATCTTCTTCATAAAAAAATTTCTTCATTTGCTTCTTCTTCTTTGTTTTTTTCTTTTTGTTCATATTGCTGGAACAAAAAGTGCCGGGAATCATGTGTTCGGGAGGGACAATGGGATGAGAAAGGACACTTTGGGAGGAAATGAAGTTGATTTCCTTCTCTTGTTCTTCTTCATGCCTTATTATAGGCGAAATTTTCGCCGCTTCGAAGTTTGTCATTGGTGTAACAAACGATGGTTGGATCGGCAGATTCCAACAAATT